GGGGGGGGGGGGGGGGGGGGTGTGTGTGTGTGTGTGTGTGTGTGTGTGTGTGTGTATTACTAATTCGTTTACTGTCTGTTGGCATTAGTTCTCAGAATTAAGCTAGAAGTTTGCCCTTTTAAAATATATTCCTTTTTGCTTAATTTGAAGTATGATAGTAAAGGTATTTTATTCAAGCATTTCCTTCCTACCCTCCATGGCTTTGTCTTGTCCCTTCAACAAATGATGTGGATGTGCCTTTAAACTGTATATCATTTTAAGAAATTGTTTTGTTCTTCACATCATTTTACATGTACATCTTTTAAGCTGAGTACTACATGGGACTGTACAGGAGTATTTGGCTGAGGTATGAGCAGAAATTCATCCCAAGCACTGCTTGCCAACTCCTGTCTATAGCTGTCAGCCTGAATGAAAAGCCAACTTTTCCTGATTTGCTCAATATGCTAGCATGGCCTTGTTCTAAGCATTTTTCTTTTTCTATAAGTTTTGTGTTAATTGTAATAAGGTTTCATTAAACCAGTTCTATTTCCTTATCTTCAATATTTAGCTTTAAAAAAGGCCCCCAAAATTTAGTACCTCCAGCAGTATCGTATTACCCATTCCAATAACCTTTGCCTTCTTATCATTAGCATAGTACTTGAGAGTTTGTAACTGTGAGAACATACATTTTATAAGGTAATAGGGCATTAATTAGGTACTTAGCACATTAATACCTTGATCTCTGGTGATGACATTAACAAAATGTGTATATAAAACAAATGGATCAAGAATTGACAAATCAAACACACTCAGCTTAAGGTAGTTACTTTAACAATTTCTTTCACTTAGAGTGTTTCTTTATTCTAGGGGACATAGTGAGAATGGAGAAGTATCATTACTTCCTTGCAGCTCTCAATCATTAGAAGGTAAGCTTAGTTTTAGATGATAGAAACTTATTACTTAGATTGTTGTTATTAAGTTACCATCTTTTTCTGTCTTGGAGAGGGAAAATTTCAAGGTGAAATTGAAAAGACTTCTATGGGTTACCTTCTTCAGAATTCTCACAGTACTTTCATCATACTTCCATTGTAATCTTACATTGTATTGCAATTAGTTGTTTGCACAACCGGCTCATCACTGGATTGTGAGTTCTTTAAGAATAGGAATGGTGTTTTATATCCATTATCTATCCCTAAGCAGCTAGCATATACATGTATATAGTTCCTTCTACTTTGTGACACTCAATAAAATGTGTGTTGGACAAATTAATAAAAAGCTTTAAGAGGGAATTTTTGCCTATCTGTGTTAGTTTTCCACCCAGGAATATTTTAATGCATCAAATGTATAAATAAAAATAAAAATATTAGGAAATATTAAAAATAAAGCAACATTGCTTTAACTTTAGCGTGGACATTAAAGTGAAAAGAAACTGTCAGTACCCAAGGGTTGGGTCATGATTGTAACCTCAGTGACTTTCTACACATTTGATTCCTGTCACTCTTCAATAACCATTAAACCATCATTAATTTTGTTTGTAATGCAAGCATGAACGTTCTAACATTTTAGAATGCAGGTAGTATTTTTTTTTTAGAGAGAGAAATATCTAAACTGAAAGAAAGATATTAACCACAGTTATATGCTTTTTTAAAGTCCTCAATTGAATTTTTCCTTTTGTTGTTATTTAGAATCCTCTAGACAGTCTTGTATTAGTGTGCCCGGAATGTCTACTGGAACAGTACTTGGTGCTGGTAGTATCGGAACAGATATTGCAAATGAAGTTCTGGACTTACAAAGGTAATGTTTGATTGCTACAAATATCACAAGTAAAATTATTATACTTACAAAACAACATTCAAAAATCAGTAAGTTTCCTATATACAAACAATAAACAGTTCAACAATATGATGGAAGATCACCTTTACTGTAGCAACAAAAAAGATGAAAAATGGTATTTAGATATAAATTTTACAAGAAGTGTCCAGAACTATATGAAGAAAAAACTTTAAAATACTACAAAGTTAGTCAAAAGATGACATGAATAACTTTCCAGATATGTTTTTTTTCAATAGAAAGACTCGGTATTATAAGGATATCAGTGTTCCTTAAACTAACCTATAAATTCAATGTGAATCCTGTCGAAATGCCATCATGCATTCATTTTTTTAGTATCCAACAAATGATACTAACCATATTAGAATATCCAGGAAAATTCTAAAAACCAAAAGTAATAGATTGAGACTAAGACTATCAAAAAGACTAAACACATATGGAAATGTGTTAGATGGTAAAAGTGGCATTTTAAATTAGTAAGAAGAAATGAATGAAACAGTTAAGAGCATTATAATAACTCTATAACCATCTGAAAAGAAAAGAAAGCTAGATCACAACTTTATTCTTTATACTCATTTAAATTCCAGGTAAATCAAAGAGTTCAAAGTAAAACTATAGAAGTATTTCAAGAACACAGGGATGGATTTTTATAATCTCAGTTTGGAAAGGCATAAAAATCATCATGTAAAATCCAAAATTTATTAAGAAAAAATATAAATTATATAAAAACTCAAAATTTGGCATAACTATAACCATTATAACAAAGTTAAGATAAATTATACACTGCAGAAAATATGTGTATTTCATAATGATAAAGTGGACTAATTATTTTAATATATGAAGTTTTATAGTATAAATTTATTAAACTTTATATATAATAATCTTTATATAACTTTATATAACCTTGATCTATGTTAAACTTCATATATTGTAAAAGTTATTAACCAATTTTTTAAATTCAATAATAAAAAATAGTTGGAGAGTGGACATAAATAGAAGATACAAATGGCCAAGAAACTTTAAAAATTGGCTCAATCCCACTCACAGTTAAAAATATATATACAAAACTAAATGAGATACCTTTTTTCATTTAGAAGATTGTCAACGATTTGAAAGTTTGATAATACTCAATATTGCTGAGAGTGTGAAAAAACGATGACTCTTAAACTGTTTGTGGGAATATAAATTAGTTGAAACTACTTTGGGGGGCAACTTGACAATACTTATCAAAAATGTGAATATGTATAATCCTAGACTCGGCAATTCTACCCCGGGAGCAAACAGTCTTATATAGTAATGCAAAGAGCGATGAACAAGACTGTTCATTGATGTATTTTTAACAGTACTGATTTAATTATTTATCATAACCATAACTTGTTATGGCATATCCATACAGTAGAGTACTCTGCAACTGTTAAAAATTTTGTAGCTCTATTTTTATATGGAAAGATCCTTAAAATATATAGTTAATAGAAAAAAAGCAAAGGAATAGAACAAAATAGTATGCATAATAACACTTTTATAAAAAAAAAAGATGTGTAGATATGTGAGTGTGTGTGTATATAGGCCCATCTCAAACTCTTGAGGCCAGATAGGTTTTGAACTCAGAATTTCTTTGGATTTCAGAAAGATAGTGTTTTGGAATTCAGTTTTTTTTTTTTTTAAGGAGTATGTATAGTACTCCCAGAGAACAGTTACATCATGGGCAGCACCTCATAATCAAATAGTATTTCCGCAACAACGTATTTACAGATTAAATGGTACAATGTCTGGAAAGAAGGGAGGTAAGAGTTTGGGGTATATACATTAAGTAAGATTGGGAAAGAATTATTGAAGCTGTTTGGTATGTGTATGAGATTTTACTAATCTACTTTTATATCTGAAGTTTCCTTAAAATATTTTTTTTGGAGTGAAGTTATGTAAATATTCATAGTAAGTAGGACAAAGTGGGATAAAAATAATTAGCCTCATATCAGTTAGGTCAGGTTTTGCGAAGTTCAGATCAATTTGGATTTTGCTGCCAAATGAGTTATCGAATATCTTTCTGTTTTCAAGGTGTTTTGGATTTTGGAATTGTAGAAAAAGACCCTATAACTCCATGATATAATATATATCAAGATACTTGTTCCACCTGTTCAGAATTTGTTACCTTTCATATTTGGGAGTAGATATTGGGGAATGGGAGATATAGAAAAAAGAAATTTTTGCTTTTTGTTTTCTTTTTGTACAGTTTGAATTTAAGTTTTTCAATTAAAAATAGTTTAAATGGAAAAAAAAAATCACTAGTAAGACAGTTGTCATGCCCTGATGGACACCTGGGTTGTTTCCACCTGTGGCTATTGTGAATAATGATGCCATGAATGTGAATATACAAATATATGTTCTAGTCCTTGCTTATGATTCTTTTGGGTATATACCAGAAGTAGAATTGCTAAATCACATGGTAATTCTATTTTTGATTTTTTGAGGAATTGTCATTCTGTTTTCCATAGCAGTTGCACCATTTTACATTCTCCACCAGTAGTGCACAAGGGTTCCAACTTCTCGCCAGTGCTTATTCTTTTCTGTTTTTTGATAATAGTCATCCTAATGGGTGTGAAGTGGAATCTCATTGTGATTTTGGTTTGCATTTCCTTAATGACTAGTGATGTTGAGAATCTTTTCATGTACTTATTGGCCTTTGTGTGTCTTTTTTGAAGAAGTGTCTATTCAGGTTCTTTGCCCATTTCTCAATCAGGTTGTTTTGTTTGTTGGTTTGTTATTGTTGAGTTGTAGGGGTTCTTTAAATATTCTGGATAGTAACCTCTTATCAGATATGATTTGTAAATGTATTTTTCCAATCTATGGGTTGCCTTTTCACTCTGTTGATACTGTCCTTTGATACATAGAACTTTTCAATTTTGATAAATTTGACTATACCTCTTCTTTTGTTACATGTGCTTTTGGTATCATATCTAAGAAATCGTTGCCATATCCAATGTCATGAAGGCTTTTCTCTATGTTTTCTGCTGAGAATTTTATAGTTTTAGGTGTTACACTTAGGTCTTTGATCTATTGATCCACTTTGTGTTAATTTTATATATGGTGTAAGGTAATAGCCAAACTTTCTTCTGCATGTGGATATTCAGTTTTCCAGCTGAGGTACCTCCATATATAAATGACTTCCCCACTGCATCCTGAACACTCTAACAGTATCCAGCTGTAAATGTTTGGCTCAATTTCTGCTCCTCTTAAAATGCCCTTCCATCACATATGGTCAGATGATTTTCAGCAGAGCTGCCCAGATCATTCAATGGGGGAAAAGATAGTCTTTTCAGTGTGTGGAGGAGGGTGGGAGAAAGCATGGTGGTTTCAGAGAACAAGATTTGACTGAGAGAGGAGTTGGGTTGCTGAGAGCAGTGAGGAGTTTAAGGTGACATCAAGTAGTGGGGGACTTAAAAAGCAGGTTTCTGCCTAGTGGACTAACATGAAGAAAGCTATGTTTCAAAAGATTAATCTGGTAGTGAAGCACATGGGGAAGGGGTAGTTTTCTTCAAGCCAAGGCCAAGTTGATCTGGTGGTGATTTAAAGCCATGAATCACAGAATGAGAAGCCAGGCAAGCTATTTAGATTGAGTGTCCTGTGAAAAATTCCCCAGACAGGCCACTGATCTTTTCTTTTGTTTTCCTACCTTATTCATTCCATTTCTGTTTTAATATCTCCCTCTATAATTTCTTGTCAATTGCTGTCTTAGGAATACGTAAAGACATAAAGTTATGTTTATGCCAGTGTGTGTTTCACATAATTGAGCACTTAATAATATATTATATGGTACTTGTCAGTTTTATATATTTAAGTCTAGTGAAGAGATTTATGATCAAAGTATATGATTATATTTATGTCATTATGTATCTCATTGAATTTATCCCTGGGGATGACCTATTACAGTAAAAGTATGACACATTTTCTACTTAAAGGTTGCAGAATGTTAGAAAATCTTTCTTTACTCTCAGTTCTGTTTGGTATCTTGATAAGGAACTGACTCTTGATGTGAATGCCTGTTTTAAACTAAGTGTGTTATATTATTCTATTACTTTGCCACATGCTATATTAAGATAGGTATGATACAAGCTTTTTACCTCAGAGTTTTATGTTTCTATTTTACAGAGTGTTTTTCAGCACTCCATGGTCAAAAATAAGTCTAGCACCGAACAAGTCAGTCTATTGTGAAAACTGTCGTGATATAGAGTGTTATGTTCCTTCACTGTATTTTTATCAGATTATGATATATTCAGAGAAAATCTCTTTCTAAAAATATGTGAGTAGATAAAATGTTTTATTATTTATTATTTTTAAAGGTTACAGTTTTCTTCATCCCTTGGTGATTCAAGTCCAACAGATTTAATGAAAGATACTCACACGATAAACTTCAGGAATGTAAGTACAATCATAAATAATATTCATGAAATAAATGAACAACAAAATTTGCTCCTTGTTATTTCTCCCTAGAAAATAAGCCATCCTATAAAAAAATACATGAACTCTTTTCTAGGTAGTCTGTGGTTTTAATAGGCAATGTAGAATAGTGGTTAAGAATGAAGTTGCTGGAACTGTACTATCTGGATCCAAATTGTGACTCATACACTTACTACTGCTTAACCCCAGTCTTGTTATTTAAACTCTCTGTGCCTTGATTTCCTCCTCTGTAAAACAGGGATAAATAATAGCACCAATCTCTTGGAATGGTGTATGAGATAAGTGACTTAATATGAAAACAAAAATAGTGCCTGGTACAGCATGTGCTCAATAAATGGCAGCTATTGTTATTTTAATAGATTCCAGTTCAGTGGATGAAATGTACTCCTTGTGGTCTGAAACAAAAGTTTAATATAAGCTACAAGTATTTAATTCAGTTGAACAAACACTAGCTATTTGAAATGCATATACAAAAGTGACTAAACAGCGCTAATATCTAAAAGATTCACATACAATATAATTCTAATGTAGCCCCAACAACAAAAAGTTCAAAGTAGGTCTATAAATTAAGTGGTATAAGAATAGAGTAGAAAAGAGTAATTAAATTTTAACAGGGACAAAAGGAAACTTGCAAATATATTTTTACGTGAATATCATAAGTCTTTTGGTCTAGTATTTTAAGACTTTACTCATACATTTAGCAAATGTTTATTGGTTACCCATTTTGTGCCAGGCCATATGCTACAAACAGGAGTTAAATCATTTTAACAAAAGTCTCCAAGTCGTGTATGTATATAGGCACTTTATAAAGTACATCAACTTAGGACAATACAGGCAAAGGATTTCTTATTTTGATGAGTTACATTGAATATTAGATTGTTTGGCCTGCAACTATATAAGTGTATAACTTTTGGTAAGAGCCTGATTTATCCATTCTCCACTCCAAAGCAGTATTTCCCATTGTAGTTTCATAGGAGATATAGTTTTGCCATCATTTTTTAAAAACTGAAATAACTTTGACCCAGAGCATTATGGTCATGAACTTTTCCTTCTTTATCTCAAAAATTTTCTTATAGGACGTACATTCAGTTATGATATGAAGAATGTGGGCTTTAGAGTCAAGTAGATTGGTAGAGAATTATGGCTCTAACACTTTGGGTGAGATATTAACCTCTTTAGGCCTCAGATTCCTGACCTATAATACAGATACCTCACAATATTTTTAAAGTGAAATGAGATGATGCATGTGGAGTGCTTAATTACGTAACACTCAGTAAATTCAAGCTGCCATGTTGATGATGGCGGCCCAAGTCAGATGACTGCCAAGAAGTGTTTATTCAAGTAGAAACCTTACTACTTACTATTCTGTCTTTTCAGATGTCAAATAAGGAGTTGATTCCACTAAGTCCTTCTGAAGTAGGGGAGCTAGAAGCTACAATGCAAAACCACAGCACTGCTGATCCCCCCAGTCACGAACCGCTCCTAGGTAAGTTTTCTTTGGCAACTGCCTGCCATTTTGGTTTCCAGAAACTCCTTCTTAATCACTCTGTTTTCAGGAATAAGACATTTTAGTGAAGCAAACAAGTTGAAAACTAAGATTTTTCCCATTCGAAAGCCTAAATACAATCATCATACTTTTGATTTTAAAATGTATGTTACTTATATCAACTGAATCAGTTATTGATATTGTTAATACATACAATTTAAATAAAACTAAGGTATTTCCTACTGGGAAGAAGTGTCCATTAGGGATTCAAGAATTTTTAAAGGATACCAATCATAAGAAGCTTAAGATATAAGTATTCATTTTAACTATATTTATGCAAAGTCCAGATCAAGTAAATTGAAATGACAGTTTTATACCCCCAATAATTGACACTGACCTACTGTGAACATTTATGTTAAAATCAAAGGACTTGAAGGAATCCAGATCATCTCAAATTCTATTGTACTTTGAAAGATATCTAGAAAACTTTGGCTAATCCATAGCTATGTTTAACCCTTAATATCTAGAACCTCTTCCTTGTCTCTAACTTAAACCTCATTTCCTTAGTCCTTCCTTAGATCCTTTTTCAATTAAAAATCTCTAACTTAACCTCATTTCTTGTCTCTAACTTAAACCTCATTTCCTTAGTCCTTCCTTAGATCCTTTTTCAATTAAAAATCTGGTTACTCCCCTTGTTTTAGAAGGTGATGCTTTTGTCTCAGCCTTCTCATTTTGGGATTAAACAAACAGTTATTTTCACAAGGCGGATTAAAGTTAAATTTCTCTTTGCAAGTCACACACACATACACACGCCTCTAGCTTCCAACTCTCTGGGAGTCTGTACCTTTCCAAGCTGTTATTTTCTATTAGAAAACTCATAGATTAGCTCACTTATGTGTATTGAGTATGTTAAGTACAATTTATCTGACAGCAGGTTGTTATAAAAATAGGTTACCCACTTAAAAATTTATTAGGCTTCTGCAACTTAGGACAGTTTGTCCTCAAATACATTGTATAGTTTTCTAGTCTTGCTTTGCCTTTTTGATGATAATCATTTTTTTAACCTCCAAGTGTACTTACACAGGCCTGTATTTTAATTCTGTAGGTGATGGTGCCCAGTTGGATTTCGATGCCCTCTGTGACAATAATGACACAGCCATAGCTGCCTTCATGAATTACTTAGAAGCAGAGGGGGGCTTGGGAGACCCTGGGGACTTCAGTGACATCCACTGGACACTCTAGCATTTGATTTTTAACTCCAAAAATGAAAAACGTTTTTAGAGCATTTCATTTACAAAGAACTGTATATTCTACAGTACTGCATTGATACTGTTTTTATATTTCATTCCTATTAATGGTCTACCGATTTTTATAGATTGGTACCTTACTTTCATAGAGGTATGGGGAAATGTAATGTTTTCCTTCAAATAGAGCTGCTCAGAGCTCCCTATAGACCCCTTTACTCAGCGAACTGGCTTTAAACCTACTAGTTGCTATTTTTTGCTAAAATATTTCTAATCAAGAATATCACAAACATCTTACTTGGTTTGGTTTTTATTTTTCGATTCAGTTTTTTGAGTTTGGGAAGTTTAATATATTGGCATTTTCCTTGTGTCTAAGATTTATTTATAATTGACTTATAATAGTAGATTTTTATGATTTGGAACATTTCCATTCCTTGTATATTTCCTTAAATGAGGATAGGGCTTACATACTTTTTAAGAAAATGGTGATTACTTGAATATTTAAAGGGACAATGCAATTTATAGTAATGATCACAACGAATACTGTATTTGGTTATTTTAGACTTGGGCAAGCACAAAGCTAGGGTATTTATGCTCAGTTGAGCACTTCGAGATGGATTTAAATGAGATGATTTTTTAAAATTTAAAACTCAGAAAAAGTTGAGAGTTTCAACTTTGCTTACAGAAAAGGAAAGATTTTGGGCCCTAGATCTTGGTAATTAACCTTTGCAGATATAAGATTTACTATTAATCTAACCACTCAAGGTTTTCATTACAGAACAAACAGGTTTTTGATGCTGAAAAGGTATGTAGTAACTGATTAGTCTTAAAGGAAGAAACTGGCCCAGGCAGATTGTCTTGTATAAAGTCACAATTAAATTCACATATTTTTTAAACGTTTGGTGTGTATAATCCAATTCTACACATTTGGAAAAGTAGTGATAGGCTAGGAAACTAGTAGGGAAACCTTGAGGCTCAGATGTGGGATTCAGATATAATTCTCTTTCTCTAGATGGTTCTATACCTTACCAGCAGATTTCCCTCAGAGGCACTCACCAAAACAAAGCATTGTTTTGATCTTGCCTATTTCTTTAGGCTGTAAGTAATAGATTGAACTTTCATCAGATGCATTAAATGGCAAACATACCAACAGGCGATAACCAGAAGCATATGCTCCATTCAAGTGTGATATTAGCAGTGCCTCTGTGGACAAGAATATATTGGCACATTATCCTCTTAAGCCAATACAATGTTCCAGCAATGTCAGAGGGCAGTACCACTCCTGGTTCTGATAGTTTAGGACTTGAGACACTCAGGTATAGAATAAGCCAAAGAAACTCTACAAGATGAGGGAGACTGGTTTACAGTAGCCTGAGCATGATAGTTAGGTTTGAGGAAGCATGAATGATCAAATCTGTTTTCTAAGTCAGGCAGAGGGGCCTGCCTACAAACATAACACTTTAGGGGTCTGAACCATTGCAGGTTAAACTTGGCCTTCAGAATTGACCTAAGCCAGAAGTAGCAGGATAGGTCATTGTAGCTAAATGGCCTCAAAAGCAGATGAGGCAAACCTTCATGATGCAAGGATCTGAGAGGCAGAGTTTCTAGTAGCAAGCCACTGCTACCTTACAGAGTCGCAATTTTTTTCTCTTTGTAAGAGGAGTTGTTCCATAGACCAGTTGGCAGATAACCAATTGAATGCTCTGATCCTTTAAAAATTCACTCCAATATTTTTCTGTAGATCTTGCCCTGGACCCAAAATCCAATCCACACATTAGATGATACTATTGCTCTCCCAAGTTTAGGGTTTTCTTCAAAATGCATTCTATTTGCATTTGATTGCTATTAGGAGTGACAGATATTTTTATGGTTTTACTGGATATTTTCCCTCCTACCAATTAATTTCTTGCATTTTGGTGTAAAATCTCTGTACACTGACTGAAAGCATCAAAAAAAGGTACTCAATTTTTTTTTTTTTAACTAAGAATTACCTACAGCAATGTAGTGGGGTGGGAGGAGTGTCTAGAATCAGAAGAGCCCACTCAGCCTAAATTTAGCTGTGTGACTGCAAGCAAGCCATTTAAACTCTGTACCTCAGTTTTCTTGTTTGTAACAAGAGATTTGGTCTCTGAGTTTACTTCCAGTTCTGATTCTGTGATTCTGATCCACAGAACTTGAGTGTTAGGGTCAGACTCTAGAGCTGTATTGTTCAGTGTGATAGCCAGTAGCCACGTGGGACTGTTGAGCACTTGAAATGTAGCTAATGCAAATAGAAATGGGCTATAAATATAAATTGCATATCAGATTTCAAACACTTAGTATAAAAAAGAATATAAAATATATTAATTTTATATTGATTACATGTTCAGATAATATTTAAGATATACTGAATTAAATTTAAGATATACTAAATTAATTTTTTTTAATTTTTACTTTTCTAATGTGGCTACTAGAAAATTTAAAATTACACATGGGGCACTTATATATTTCTGTTAGACAGCTCTGTTCTAGAATATTTTATTAAGTGAATATTATTGAAGTAGACCAAAGTTATGCTATAAGTATGCTATTTACCTCTAAATGCTGTTTTAAAAAACAATTGTGCATTGATCCTTGATTTAGTACAATCAAATAACTGAAGCTGTGTGTAAAAATTTTAAACTTTTGAAACTAGTAAACTTGAAAATGTGATCAGATGTTTTATTACAGAATGATAGCTTGAAATTAAATAAAACTTGAGGTATATGTTGACAACCTATGGTAGTCACTAAACTTGGAAATCCATTGAAAAACAAAAGACAAACAGGAAAATAAAGAATAGAGACTTTTGGTATATAAATGGGATTAAAATACTTAATTACAGTGTCACCATTGGGGAAAGGCTGTTTTTGAGTCAGATTCTTTGACGAATCTCTGTAGAGTCTGGGCCACAAGTAAATGAAATAGCCACTATCTAGTTGTCAGACCATATTCAGTGTTAGATCCCACTCCAAAGTATCTACCACTCAGGTGGGTCATTGTGGGCTCTGGAATTGGAGATTCAGATTTGCCAAGTGTGGTGTTAAGAGCAGAACAAGGCTGACACTTAGAATAATCAGAAGCCATAAAAAGCAAAAACAAAAACAAAACAAACTCTGCTAAGTGGCCACTAGGTGTCACTTTTTCATTTCTACAGTTCTTTGTTCTCCGGTTAATTTTTCCAAGTTCCATGGAACCTAGAAGAGGCATTTATTATTTTTTTTATTATGTCTGCCTCTCTGGTATAGGTTGTTATATGAGAAATGCTTTTTGAGAGAAAGTTCTTCCCACATAATATAAAAGCTTTGGTTTAGGGAGCTTTTCAGATGTGGCTCTAGTAAAAAAGCTGACCTTAGAAAGAAAACCCGTCCAAATGAATATGCTCTCTGACTCAGTTGAGAGTGTATGGTGTGCGTGTCACTGCTCATACAGTCTTGAGTTTAGCTTTGTCTTTTATACAATTTTTAGCTTTTTCCAGTTCACTTGTGTTTGTCTGTATTTTGGTATTTTTAAATTTTGTGATAAATGATGAAAAGAGTGAAATTAAACTATATTTTATAATAATGACCAGTTTGGAGTTTTTTATTTAATATATTAAAATTCCTTCAAGAAGTATTTCCCTTCACTGCTTTCTGAAGTTGAAACATAGACTAGGTAGAAGATGAGTGTTCTCAAATCACTGGGCATAGAGGTATATTGAACTACGTCACCATATACATTTTTAGGTGTATTCATCACGGTATGCTAACTGCTATAATAACCAAAATCTCAGTGGCTTAACCAAGTAAAGGTTCCTTTCTGCTCATGTCACAGTCCAATGTAATCGATGCTGTCTGTCTCTCTATCGTCTCCTTCCTCCCTGCTTCTTCATTTTTCCATCTCTCAGTTTTGCTTTTTTCTAAGCTAGTTTTATCCTCTGGTGGATCATAATGACACTCAGAAGCTCCCAGCACATTATTATTTTTATATGTGGCAATCTAAGTAAAAACAGAGCTTCTTTAATTCACACAAAAATGTCCATCGATTTGGCCTCTAGATTAATTTGGTTCACATGGTTAACAGGCTAGAATCTACAAATTGGCCAGCCTTTGGTCACGTGCCCAAACCTAGATTTAAAGGCATTCTTGAAACGGAAGTCATGTCAAAAATAGCCAACTGTCTGACAGGCTAGGCCCAGAGAAGGAATGGGGATGTATGCAGAAAGGACAATGGAAAACCTATAATTGATCATAGTTGATGATTTCCTAGGACTATGGGTTTAGGTATGTGAGCCTCTAGTCTCTTTGTTTTGGTTATTTTATTTGGGAGAGTGGTGGAGCGGAGCAGCAAGTTATATACACATTTTTAACCTTGGCCACATTTTCTGGGTAATATTCAGCCACTGGTCAATTTGGAGGACTGTCCATTGCTTAAGGTAAGTGTGTTCTGAGAGAGTCAATAAAGAATTATCTGAAATCTTTGTCTAGCTATGTTTTTCTGGCATTTGATTTACAGTTCCTTAGGCAGTCCTAGTTCTTGGCTGACCGTTAGGTGTATTTCCCACATTTACCCATGTGCAGGGAGAAATCTGTTGCATTTTAACTTGAGAATAAATATGTTAAAATAATTTTTGTGATAAAATATATTTTTTAAAAGGCGACACTAAAATGAGAAGTCTAGATTATGTAAGCTTATGACTTAGTAGAACTCTTAGAAATCTCATTTAATACTTGCTTGAGTGAGCAATAACCCAAAAAGCTTCCCATCTATCTACCAGAATTGACATCTAGACCAATAGCACAAAGTACCTGACTTTTTAATTATTTAGGAGCCCATAGTGTCCTATTTGATTTAACAGAGATCAGGAAAAGCAGTTATCATGCCTGAAATATTCATTCCGGGTGGTGGTGGGGGGGATGGATATGAATTAGATTATATGTAAAATAAAATTTTTAATATTCACTGTAGAATAAAGGCTATTCTATTTCTTTATAATAACATTAGTAGCATATTTTTAGTTTTCTAATTATAATAACAACCGTGTATTCATTGTTGAAAATTCAGGAATACAGAAAAGCGCTATAATTTCACCACTTAGTGAAAAATCATAATTAACACGGGTATTTCTTTATCTTTTTCTAGGCCTTTATATAGGCGAAGCAACCTTTGGTTGACCTCACAGATTGCAAGGACCTTGTCAGTTTACAATCCCTAATTTTTTATATTTTATGCCTACAGCACGTGATCTTCCTAGGTGGTCTCTCATCCAAGTACTAACCAGGCCCAACCCTGCTTAGCTTCCAAGATCAGATGGGATTGGGCTTGTTCAGGGTGGCATGGCCATAGACAAAAAATTTTTTTTTCTCCTCTTTAATCTGCTCCCCGCCCCCACACACACTTCCACCCCTGACCTATGGATGTTGCCATTTCCCCTTAAGAACTGGATCTCTGAAGGCGGGGCGTCTCCTCCCACATGCTCTGGGAGTTCACCTGGGATCTGGAGCACCTAGGGGGCCTGGCGCACCCAGGGGTACGGTCCGTGGCTCCACCTGGAGCGTGAACCCAGGACCTTCTTCATGTAAAGCAGAAGTGCTAACCACTACACTATGGAGCCACCTCCAACAAAATATTTTTAAATCTTTTTTGTAGCCAATTATTTTGTAGTTATAGTTCTAAATATGCTTCTATTGCCACTTCCCGATTTACCTAGAATGAGTATGGAACAGGAAGCCAATGATTTATTTAAATATTCCCCTTTTATGGAACATTAGGGTGTTTGGAAAGTTTAACTATTATGGGTAATAGGTAGACAGTTAACATCTGTCTACACAAATATTTTGCTATTTTGTTTAGGATGAATTTCTTGAAGTGTAGTTACAGATCGAAATTGCTCAATTGTCCTACAGAAAGTTTATATACAATGCTCTTTCCAGAGTTAATTTTTCTGGGGTTAAATATGTCTTTTATTCTTAATTTTGTTTTATGCACAAAAAGAACCCCCCTCCAAGATCAAATAAATATACACCTATGTTTTTTCCTAGGTGTCATGTGGTTTCATAGTTTTACACTAAAGGTTTTGATTTAGCCAGTTTATTTTAGTCTATAATGATATAGAAGTCCTCTTTTTCTTTCCAAAATATTAATCACTTGCCCTATAGCCATTCAGTGACTACTCCTTTTTCATTAATTTGAAATGTTACATTTACCAATTATTAAGTTCTTATGTTATTCTGGGATCCGTTTGAAAGGAGGTGGTGGTGGGTAAGGAGGGACTCCTAATCTATTGAATTCATCTGGCTGTCTATTCTTTTACAAGTACCAACTGTTTAATTAAATGTAATAGAGTTTGATACTGACCTTTCTATTATGTATAGTGTATCACCTTTTTTTCTGAAAGTTTCAGAGTGTGCCACCCCAAAATAAGCTACTTTGGCATGTTATTTTGAGCTTAAGGTGCTTGAGAAACAGAAGATGCAGGACAGTCTCTGTGCCCTTTTCTATGTAAAAGCAGGACATGAAATTTTCCCTGAGAAAGATGCCCTCCCTGCACCAGGAAGAGAAGAACATCCTTATTACCAGAGACTGGGATGCTGAAATGGACCTGCACAAACAGACCCGATCTTCCATGTATTTCCTAGTCACTATCCTACAATTTATACTGACCCTAGCCCAAGCCCCTTTGTCTTGTTACATAACCACAATTTTCTTTCTTTGAGCAAAAAGGTATATACATGTTGGGGCCTAATGGCTTCTTCAGGTCTTCATTTTCCTTCTGAAGACTCCATATACACAAGCACAAAAATGAGTTTGTATACTTTTCAACTGTAAATTTGTCTTACGTCAGCTTAATTCTTAGGCCAGTTAAAAGACCTAAGAAAGTAGGAGGAAATTTCCCTCCCAACCACACACTTTTTTCTAATTTTCTGAAAAGTTTTAAAAATAGAAAATATATTTCTACATATTTATAAATTTATGAATACTGGCTTTTTCTGATTTAACACTTCTTTAACTTTTTAATTTCATACTACAAATAGATCACTTACATCAATTAATTATACTTATGTTACAACTAAGTCGGGAATGGCACTAATGTGTTTAGTGTTCTATGCTTTTGTTATATATAGAATACATTTATTCTTGGAACAATCTGTCCAATCCTGCAATCTGCATTCTCTTGAGTTGTTGCAATTCTGAGGGAATATGAATAAAATCTAAATTTCATTAAATTCTTACTATGGCAGGCACAGTTTCTGAGCATGTATTAATTTAAGCCTCCTAACAACCCTAAAGATAAATGCTGGTCTTAATCCATTTCCACATGAGAAAACTGAGGCTCAGAGAGTTAAATAACTTGACAGTGTTACCCGGCTCATAATGTATGGAGTCAGAATCAAGACCAAAGCAACCTGGACTGGTGCTCTTAACCTTGCATTTTGGTAAACCCTTTGATTTATTCTCAAGGTCTTTCTACCTTTCCTCAACCCCCCTCAATATAATACAAAAATTTTATTTTTTAAATTGTAAAACATACATAACAAAATTTACTATTTAACCATTTTAAAGTGTATAGTTCAGTAGGGTTAACTATATTAACATTGTTGTGTAACAGAGCTCTAGAATATTTTCATCTTGCAAGACTGAAACTATGCCCATTGAACTAGAACAAATAGTACTAAAATTTATATGGAATCACAAAGGACCACAAATAGCCAGAGCAATCTTGAGAAAGAATAAAGTTGGATGTATAACATTCCCTAATTTCAAACTCTACTACTATAATAAAGCTATAATAAAACATTATGGTACTGGCACAAAAACAGACACACAGATCAATGGAACAGAATAGCCCAGAAATAAACTCTTGCTTATATGGTCAACTAATCTATGACAAAGGAAGCAAAAATATACAACAGAGAAACAAATCTTCAACAAGGGTGTTGGGAAAATTGGAGAGATACATGCAAAAAAATGAAACCACTGTCTTAAACCATATACAAAAATAAACTCAAAATGGATTAAAACTTGAATGTAGGCTGAAACCATGAAACTTCTAGAAATGATAGGTTGTAAACTGTTTGACATCAATCTGAGTAATATCTTTTTGGATATATCCCTTCAAGCAAGGGAAACAAAAGCAAAAATAAACAAATGGGACTTCATCAAACTAAAAAGCTACACAGTGAAAGAAACCATCAAACAAAAAGAGACAACCTACTGAATGGGAGGATATATTTGCAAATGATATATCAGATAAGGGGTTGATATTTAAAATATATAAGGAACTCATACAACTCAATGACAAAAAAAAATCCAATAAAATAATGGGCAGAGGATATGAAAAGACATTTTTCCAAAGACATACAGATGGCTGACAGACATATGAAAAAATGTTCAACATCACTAATAATCAGGGAAATGGAAATGCAAATCAAAACCACAATGAGATACCACCTCATACTAGTCAGACTGGCTATTATCAAAAAGCCAACAAATAACATGTCTTGGCAAGGATGTGGAGGAAAGGAAACCCTCATACATTATTGGTGGAACTGTAAATTAGTGCAACCACTATGGAAAGAGTATAAGGA